ACCTTCGTTACCTGGCCAAGATTCTTGAAAAGGCTGGTAGACAACATCAGCCTCCATCACCGTTCCGTCCCCCTACAGTCTGCCCACAAAGCAATACAATACAAAATTTTATTTCATCACAATTAAAAGACTTTAAAAGTGAAATTCTTCTTCCCAATGTGGACATAAAAACAATATACATATATTTAGACACGAAAAAAATTACAAAAGTCGAAAACTTCAGTTTATGAAAAAATGATAAGTATAAACCCACCAGCAAAAATCCCTACTTTGAAAAAAGAGAAGCTTGAAAACAAAAACCTTATTGCTATAAAAAAGTATTCAAATTCTGCATGCTGACATGCTAGGTTATTTATTGAAAAAGGTCTAATCTGAATTGTAAAAACATTGCCAATAGACAGTATTTATCTGATAAAATTAGAATTATAGAGATGAATGGCACTAGGTTAAAAAGAGAATCTCAACGGTTTGTGTGTGTGAGGGGGGGGGGGGGGAGCACTCGTAATCTTCCTGATGGGAGTATGTGTATAGCTGAATGCAAAGGATGAGTTGGGTCCCGAGTTATAATCTGCAGTTTCGTGAGATAGCACTTCTCTCCGTACACTTCGGAATCATTATACTGAACTCAATCAACCGTAACAAAGCTGTATTCTTATAGTTCTGTTATATTAATCATCTGCACAAGACACACTTGACCACGGCACCATGATGCGTTGATTTCAACATAAGTTTGGAGTGTCTGGAACGACCCTCAAATCAGTGCCGCACTAGGATTTGGCTGGGGGGGGGGGGCTCACAATTTTATTTTTTCCAAATTTAAAAAAAAAAAAATTGGGAATTTTTTTTGGCCGCAGAAAAAAATTGGTTTTATTCTTTTTTGTTGGGGGGGGGGGGGGGGGACTATTCTGACGTTGGTGGCGCCACTTACACCTTGATAACCAAGACTCGAAAGAGTCTTCGTTTGGCAAGTTTCCAACATGGCGATCCCGTGAAAGTATTTTATAACGTCCCTCACCCTAACATCAACCTTAACCCTAACCCGAAGGATTTTGGGAACATATAGATGTTGGGGAACATAGGTATTGCAATTGGGGAACATCGGTAGACCCCGGTGTCAATGTAGGAATCAAACTCTTATCTCGAATAAAAAATTGTAGCCTACAAAAGTGATTCCATTGCTCAGAATACATGTAGCTGATTCAATTACTCCAAACTCGAAACTTTAAAAGATGATCTTCTGCTCAAATTGGTTTAAGTGGTCAGAAATTGCCTCAGATCACACCACAGAAATTGCTTTTCTATAACTGCATGTCTCCCCAACTATATCCCCCATTTACATTTAACTCCCCACATTTTCATCCCCAACACTACGCCCTACCCGATCTATGATCGGGTAAATCAGCTTGTGAATAATGTAGGAATCCGAAAGTACTAGAAAGTTATCAGGACACAATGCACTCTCGGAGGTTATCACTAAGTGCGTAATTCCCAAGTTGAAGCGCATGTGGAGGGCCAAATTTGGCCCCTGGAACTCATTCTTCCCCTTTCAACTTATTTCGGCGATCACGTCTAGTGTCAATGGGTTTCACGTCTGGCTCAGTATTATATTGATTTTTTCCAGACAAATTCCCCCTTAGGTAAAGTATTCCAAATCTGCGCAACGACCTATGGCTTCCAATGACTCCGTTAAATTAAATTAATTGCAATAACTGGGATTGCCAAATCTGGTTAGGGCTGTAGGGTTGGGAAACATAGGCATTATGGGAACATAGATATTGGGGAACATACCGTTAGGTATGCACCCGTTGACACCAATGACCTCGGTCTAACCTGAGCATTATCAACTAGTGCACGCGAGTGTACATAATGATATCCTAGGTTATGGAAGTTGTTGTTTTCCTGTCGTTAATATAATATGTTCATGGTCGTGGCGACACAATGATACCCGCTGCTTCTGCCCACTGTGATTTCAAGGTTTGACATTGGGGCATGAACTTTATGTCTACACGCCACCTGTTTAAAATCTGCACACGCAACCAAAACATTCAACATGACGCGACTATATCCTGGCCTAACCAACTGCATTTCATCTTTGCGCTTGCTACCTTGTACTCGCAACTATCTATGGAGACCCACATGATCCATAATTATTCCCTGTGGTTCCAGTTTATTTTGTCCTCGTCGTCGTCTTCTTATTTTATTTAAGGGGTGGGGGTGCAGGGCTGCTGTAACTTTCTAACAAACTTCATAAGAAACTTCTCATTCCAGGGAATACACTGCATTTTCTTGGGATTTCATTTCATTAATGTAGGTACTCTTCCAGCACCACTTTCATACAAAACTTTCAATTTGACTGTCGGGATATAATAATCTACCAGTTTCTTTTATAGTTTCTTATTTCGTGTCACTTTCACTTGCATTTTGTATGGGGGTTATTGCGACGCTTTGCGACATCACAAAATGGCACATCTAAAGCCGATCACAGCTCAACCGTGCCTTCCCAATAAAGTAGTTGAATAAAAAAAACCTTTGCAAGTAAGCCTACTTGAACATGACAATATATAGTTGGTTTTTTTTGGCAGCTTTCATTTGGCAATTTGTCACACGGTGCAGCACACGTATTGCCTATTCTACTACTCACTTGACATTGTGTTTGACCTATCCCTTTTTGTGTGGGCAAAGTACCTGGGCATTATGTGCGAGGAGGGCAGCATGTCAGTGAACCTGTAACGATGGTATCCCGTTTCAAATGGCTGTATAGAATGGTGTGGGGGGTGTTATGCCGTCGTTAAAGTTAATAAAGGAAATGTAAAAAAAAATCTCCCGGAGAGGAATAATATTGATTTCATTCCCAGATTATTCATGTAGCTTTGTACATGTGTCGACAACATGTGGTGGAGCTATCGTGTGGCCAGGTTGCCAATCATGCAATTATAATGATTGCAAAGGACGCGCATATACGTTTCCAAACATTGCATCTATGAAGTGCAATGTGACATTGTTCGAAGGGTGATGCACACATGACTTATAGTCAGGTGGCATATGGTCGGAATCGTGACCGACTGGTCCAAAGCACCAAACTTGGCAGATAGATTCTTATAACCCTGGAGAAGATATTTAGAAGGGTGACACCTGAAATTCTTTTGGGAAGGGTGCCTAATTTGCATAAATCGTTAATCCCTGCCGTGTAATATATTTATTCCCATATTTGGGTATATTTTTATTTTTTTATTTTTTTGAAAAGTGTATTTTGGTGATTCTACTTGCATATTCTTACTTCAATAACATTTTATAAAACATATAAGTGACTGAATAATTAGGAGGACATAGTAAAGAACCACAATTGCTACTATTTTACCCTAAAGTTACGCGCATTTACCTTTTCCTCAGATATCATCAACTAGTCTCGCCAAACGTGGGTATTGATGAGCTTCAAATTAACAAAGTTACTTACTGGCATAGTTACCCTAACAAAAATAAGTGGGAAATCAAGTGAAAATTGATAACATCTTGATGCTTAGCCCAAAAGACCAAAAAAGGGGAGAAAATGTGGTGTCCGTAAATTGGGCTAGGACGGGAAGGGTAACGTGGGAACTTAAACAAGTTCAACAAAGTCCCCCTAAATAAGAGATTATTGTTGTTTACAATAATTTTGTCTACGCCAAAACCTTTTCTCAACAATAATTAGGGAATTTCCTTGAACTTGTTCCAGTGTTCCATGTTAGGCAACCATTCACCTACTTGTTAGCCTAGTTTATGGACACCTCGTTTTCCCCAGTTTTTGTTTTCTGTGCTTAATATCACAATGTTATCATAGTTCACATGATTTTGCATAAGGTTTTAATAGGGTAGCTGTACCAGTAAGCTACTTGGTGAATTTGAAGTTCATCAATGCTAATGTTTGGCAAGACTAATTGATGATATCTGGAGACAAGGTAAATGCACGCAATTTTAGGTCACAATAGTAGCCATTTTGGATCGTTACTATGTCCTCATAATTATTCAGTCACTTATATGCTTTGGAAAATGTTATTTAAGTAAAGATATGTAACTAGAATCCCCAAAATACACTTTCAAAAAAATAAAAAAATGGAAATATACCCAAATATGGGAATAAATATATTACACGTCAGGGATTAACGATTTATGCAAATTAGGCACCCTTCCCAAAAGAATTTCAGGTGTCACCCCTTCTAAATATCTTCTCTAGGTCTATAAGAATATATCTGCCAAGTTTGGTGCTTTGGACCAGTCGGTCACGATCTTGACGAAAATTAGATCTAAGCCACCTGACTATTAGAAGGATGGCTATTTAGGAGGGGCGTGTCCCCCCTCCCCGCTCGGGGTCTCCCTCTTTTCACTGTGTGAACCATGCCATGGTTCACGCCCGGCGCGTGAGATTATTATAAAAAAAATAATAGCTTTGTATTGTTTGATATTGAAACAAGTCAAACAATTATTAAATTATTAACTGAGTGTCCGCGCCAGAAAATAAGTGCCTCTCCTTGTGCGAATTGAACCCTTGATGCCTCTGTCCAAAACAGCCTGTGTGCAATAATACAGGGTGAGTCACACACAAAAAACCGAAACCTAAATGTCGAGACCGTTATTTTTGTGAAGTTCTGCCACTTTCAAAATGTCTGATATAAAAGCCCAATTCATAAGCTTTCTTTTAGAGCAAGAATCATTCAAATCACTCATGTTATTTTGAGGTTTCGGAATTTAAACACAAATTTGAAAAGTACGTAGGTGATTTGAATAATTCTTGTACTAAAAGAAAGCTTATGAATTGGGCTTTCATATCCTGGATTTTGAAAGTGCTACATGCAGAACTTCACTAAAACAATCGTCCCGACATTTGGGTTTCTTTTTTTTCCTTTTTTTCTTTTTTAACTTACCCTGTACATTAACAGAAATAACCTCAAAAGGCCTACTTTTCTTGTGCCTTTGTGAATTTCTCAACTTAAAGTTTACCTTGGTTGTGATTTTTTTCTAAACAGTTTAACCTAGTGTGTGAAAAGAAAGATGTACCTGAGGTTGCGCAGTCAGTCTTCTTTGCAGGCGTCCTAGTCAGCTCTGTTATTACTGGTCTGCTGGCTGATTGGTAAGTTTAGTATTAAACTATATAGAAACATCACGCGATATTCTAGTCACTTGTTCTGGGAAAGGTGAACTCGAAAAAGTGTATCGCCGAGGTCAATACATGAAGATGTTATAGTCTTGCCTCAAGACGCCATTGTTGTTAAGAATGTGGGTTATACGTGCAAGTTGTTTTTTTTTGGTTCTTTTCTGCCAGTTGGCAGTATGTTGCGGGTTCAAGTCCTACTAGATTACGCTCGTGTGCTATGTTCTCACACTTAATTAGCTCTTACGAAATTATAAGGTCGGCAAAGGACAAGGTGAAATATTAACATTACATCCCTCCCAGGCAAATTTCCATTCAAATGTCACAGTACTTTCAGTCGTTCGATTTCAAAGAACCTACGACGAGTTCACATGTGGGTTATAGTAGTTCATACACCCGATGGGGTCCGGTTACAACACAAGATGTTCCGTGCTTACTGGAAGGACTGACAGGATTTTCAGGGGGCGGAGTTGACCCTGCCTGCCAAAACTTCGAATTGTAAGTTCTTGTCTAGATGGGTGTGCGGAATCGGATACATGCACTTTGTTACAAGTTCAACAGCAGCAAAAGATGGTTTTCTTTTCTACAAATAAACCACACAGGGAAACCTGTCTATGGGCTCGTTGTATTACAATATTATGGTCGAAACAAGAAATTGACTTTAGCTGGATTGAAACCTGCGACCTTCGGAGAACCGTATTGGCGCTCAACCAACTGAACTTCCCAGCTCGGTGTTGGCGGCCACGCACAATTTGTAATATCTTTGCTCACGTGGGCGCAGAGTCAGCTCAGAAACCTTCAGTATCATATGCTCGAAGGTCGAAGGTTCGATTCCCACCAGTCGATTTCTTTGTTTCACCTTATATTGATTTCTTTTAAATTTTCTTCAAGAATTGCTGAATATTTTACATTGTTTCTGTGTCTCGAAGTGCAGTTCATCTTCATTGTTGCGATCGTGGTTTTTTGTTTATAATCAGTCAACCTTGGTTCGAACCCACTCTAATTAACACCTGTTGATGAACTAAATAGCGATTTCTCTTTTCTTCAAAGGATTGGCCAGAATATAAAATTGTCTTTTTCTATGCCTGAATGTGCAACTCATCTTTAGCTTAGCGATCGTGTTTACAAATATCAGTGGTAGGTTCGAGTCCCGTTCTGATTTGCTTTCATTGGAACATATCTTTCTCTTTTCTTTAAGGATCGGTCGTAAGACAACGCTGTTTATATGCCTCGGAGTGCAGTTCATCTTCAGTCTAGCGATCGTGTTTTCACCCAGCGTCACGGCATTCGTCGCGTTGAGGTTCTGTCTCGCCATGGCCAACATGGGAGTCTTCATCATGGCGTTTGTTATCGGTGGGTTTTTTTTATTAAGGAAACTATGTCCAGTTTCCCGCTTACAAGCCCCACCCACAAAAAAATGTTTTCGGGCGATATTTCGTTATATTGTTTTTAGAAGGCAAAGGTTACCAATATAAGTGTAAAATGTCCAATTCTACCAAACATTTGCCGAAAATTCAAAAATATATCTCGATTTTCTTTAAAGATTAGTACACACATTTCCCAAAATTTTAACAAATTTCATTTTTTTAACAGAATGAAACGAAAGTCTACTTTTTTGTTTTAAAAATGTTGGGATACGAAATGAATGTCACAAACCGTTTTCAGCCCTCACCCTTAGTTTTCATCAATTCTGTACATATCCACAATTTTCCAAAAAAAAAGGATGTCCTCGAAAATGAATGTTCTTACATTTTTAGCCCCTGCCCTCAGTTTTAAATCGATCCTAAATCGTAGAACGGAATTGTTAATACAAACAAAACAAGCAATTTATTAGGACAACAACCTACACAACTCGCGTATAGACGGTTTACTTTCTTTAAGTAATAATCTTCTCAATGATCTTAACGGCAATGGCCACAAAGTGCCAAAGAAGTGTATTTTTGCTGACTTTCGTTTTTCCCTTCCAAAATGTTCATTAATTAATAAGTTTTGACATGCACCATCTTGTGGTATTATCACATGGTACTTGAAAATGTTTCACAGTCTTTTGGCAGTAGCATCTTTGAATGTTTGCAAACGGTGTCCATTAACTTTAATGCGCCTATACCGTTTTGTTCAGGTACCGAGTTTGTAGGTCCCGGGTGGCGCACCTTCATAGGCGTAGTAGTCGAGTGCTTCTTCGCCTTGGGCTACATGTCCCTTGCCGTGGTCGCCTACTTCGTCCGTGATTGGAGGATTCTACAGCTGGTTGGATCCGTGCCAATCATACTCTTCTTTCTCCTTATACGGTAAGGCGAATCGATTAACAGTGTTCAAAGTTGGGAAGGGGTTCGGATGATGCTATGAACTTAAATGAGGTTACAGCAAACGAAAATGCGACACGGGTGGAATTAGGAAATATACAGTCGACATGGGTAAAACCTTGAGTAGACAACTATAGATCCTGGGAACGAAGTTGTGAAACTTGCACTCATCCGGGTATTGTAATTTGTGAAATTTGCACTCATCCGGGTATAGTAATTTGATTTTTTGATTTATTTCATAAAAATATTTATGAGTACTTTAATTGCGAGTCTTTTTTCGAGGCATTCAGCGTATCTACCTGAATGCCATTTTTATATCCCTGGCTTTCAAGCCAGACAGGGGGATATTGCGATCGCGTATTCCTTCTGCGTGTGTATGTCTGTCCGTGTGGGTGTTCCAGTTTGCTGTAAGTTCAGTCATCAATCTCAACCAAACAGTGAAAGGTGGTCTGTGGAGAGAAGGCCGACGTCAAAACAATCCTTTCCAATGTGGATATTTATGAGTTCTCTGGAGAGCTCAGTTCAGTATTACTAATGACTCTAACATGTGGGCCTTTCCAAACGGTTACAAAAGTGTGACATGGGATGGGAAATGAAGCAGGATAATAATATCAATTGTTTGTCCTATTTTCCACTCGAACATTCCCACCCCATTGTTGAGGATTGTGCTTTTAAAGACTTTCCAAGCAAATTTGACAGATTGTCCTTACTAACATGCCAGAGGGATCGCGTAGTTTTTTGGCGTAATGACTTTAGCGGTTATACCGAGTTCAACAAATCATGTTGACTCCTCAAACGTAAAAGGCCAACTACGTGCTCACTGAGTGAAATTCACGCACCTTCCGTCTTTTCTTGTGCGCACGCGGGACAGGGTGGTGCCCGAGTCGGCCCGGTGGCTGATCACCCAAGGCAAGCTGAAGGAAGCCGAGGCCATTATCAGGAAGATAGCCAAAGTCAACAAAGCCAAGCTACCGGACCAGCTCTTCAACGTCAATGATCACATACAGGTGTGGTTTAATGGACAGGGGTTTAATTCAAAACGAGCTTTGGCCATAATATGGTAAGAGCTCAGCAATCCAGTAAAACGACGCCAATAAGTCCCCTTGTTTGCATCATATTGATTCTGTGCAAGTTAACAAGATGCGGGCTAGTCAATGGTTGAAGTTTTAAAGGGCCATGTAATGTATTTTTTTAATGCAATCTTTGTAAATACACCTGTGTCCAATTTGACGTTCTTTTTTTCAATTTTCATTTTGCCATTTTTAAGGCATTTTGGTGCCTTTTTGGTTGTTATGCTAATGCAAATTTGCATAATTTATGAGTAAAAGTGTGATGTCATTTCAGGCAGAAATGTTACAGCTATTTCTGAACAAACAATTGCCAGACTTTTTGGATATTTTGCTGTCAAAAAGGGATGTCAGTTCTTTCATACATAAAAGAGGAGTTGAAAGTTTTACAAAATATGTTCCAAAGTAAAAGTCATGTCATGGACCTTTCAAAGAAAGGGAGGCAACTTAAATGTTCTATCAATATTTCATTCCATTAGGAGGCCATAACAGGCCAGAGAAGATTGGATGGGGTGACATGCATTTTTTATTGATCTCCTGTAATTCTAAACTGTACCTAACATTGGTCGTCAGAGGAATTCCTCTGTGGTCGTTCCAATCAGTAGTTTTGTTTCAATTCCTCATTTCGGTATTCTCATGATAAATGACCGGTATTAGACTACTTGATCAGTTGTAATTTTTTGTCGGTTTTCATACTAAAACAGGAACATTTTTGTCGGTTTTACAAAACAGGAACAAGGCAGGACGTCCTTTATCGATCTCTTCCGGATGCCGAACCTGCGAAAGAGAACGTTCAATATCATGTTTAACTGGTGAGTTCCAGCGACGGGAAATAAGGCACGAAAAGGCGTATCATTGTGGTTATTTTCTTGCAGAACTTGCACCGTTTAATGGGCATCCAAATTATAGTTGTATTAAAATCCGTCTCAGGTCATTTAATTCACAGGCCAAATCACAAGTCCATCTTTAGCCATATCGAAAGTAAAGCCACAATGACAAACAATGCCCTTTGAACATTTTCATGTTAATGGATCATCACTTAACCTGCAATGGAACGACTTGCGATGGGCCTTATTCACAAGTCGGCCATATTGAATTTAACGTGAGGTAAAATCTTCATTTTGCGAAGAGAAATGAAAGCAGTGACACAAATATATAACATACCAGTCTGCTCTAATGAATAATTTTAAATTTTGTGATTAAACATACCCTAATGTTTTAAGCCACAAAAAAATGAAAGTGGGGCTAGAATGTATAAATAGTCTGGCACCATCCCATTCAGCTGTTCACAATTATACATTCAGGGAGCCTGACCAAACGGTGAATAAGGTCCATTGAACTTGCGATTGGATTGGGATGAAAGCGAGGACTTTAATAATCAACTCTGTTTCAGACATGTATTGTTTCAGACAAGCTTCGGCTTATTGCCTGACTCTCCATTCTGTTACGCTAAGGTCTGTTATGTTTACTTATAACTTGTACGGGCATAAACTTGAAACTTGGTATGTGCCTAGGTTCGTGAACGCTGCGGTGTACTACGGCCTGTCTCTCAGCACCTCTAGCTTGGGATCCAATGACTACCTGGCCTTCTTCATCGGCGGGTTTGTGGAGATTCCAGCCTGCTTATCCATCCTTCCCTTCATCGATAGGTACGGCCGGAGGATTCTGCTCTGCCTATACCTGCTGGTCGGCGGATTCGCTTGCCTCGGTACCATCTTCTTCGGTACGAACAAAATCTGCTTGGATTTGAACTGTTTGTTTTGAAAATATTATAGATGTCATAAATCTACTGTCAACTGATCAAAACTTAAACAATCAATAAACTAGTCAAGCTAGTTCAATCAAGTTCGTCAATTGGGTTGATATTTGCGATTGGCCATTATGAAAAGTTGATATAGGCAAACGGACATAAGCTCAAATACGCGGGGCGCTGCATACACACACTACAGAACACACGTTACACAATAGGCACGCGCATTTATATACAATGTATACGCGCGCGCGCGCGTTAGGGTGGCTAACTGGGGGCTAACCATGGGCTAACTAATCAAAACACTGACGGGCTATATTTTTTCAAGCCAAAATGGTCGTCGGAATTTGTTGTCCAATTAGCATGTTTCTTATATCAGCATTTAGAGAATTTTATCAACTTTATGAATGTCGTCCCCCCAAGGTTGTTGAACTTTTCGTTTTGACGCTGTGGTAAAAAACACCTGGACATGCGTGCTAGAAAACTAGTTTACGCTTCGTGATGTGCACTATTGAATAGGAGCACAAAGCGTGGATGTGTTTTTTTCAAACTAAAATGGTCGTTATGTGCCGAGCACTGTCATTGACAAATTTCATCCCTATAGAAAGCTGAAGATGTCTTCTTTCATGTTCTGATCACCCCAGATTTGTACGTCGCCCAGTTTTAAAGATATGCCTGTTTTGGTGTCTCAACAACGCACGCGCACACATACTGAGCGTGCACACGCAGTGTTGCGATGAGCAAATGTCCAAAACTTTTCATTATGCGTAACTACGTAAAGATTATCGTCCATCAGTGCATTAATCTGACAATTATCAAATAAATTATCAAAGATAACCAAATAAACAAGTCAATCAGTCGTCCACTAGAGTTTATCGACTGTCTGCTGTTCTGAACCATAATTGTCTATCAAATACGTAAAGATTATCGATCATTTAAGAATTAGTTCTGGGTAAATTTACGATTAGGCATCCGGATAACCAAATTATTTCATTATCCATTGAATTAATAATTGTAGCTTTAAATGAAAAGGAAATTAAGTCGATTAAGATTTTGATTGAATATTTGTCCAATATTGTCTAACTCTTCTTTCCTACATAGCACCGGGGGCGGGACGAACGGTCGTAGCGATGATAGGAAAGTTTGGTATCTCGGGTTCATTCTGTCTGATCTACATTTACTCTGCAGAGATGTTTCCAACACCTGTCAGGTACCAAATCAATTTTGACAAGTCTTTTGACAATATACCTCTGATATATCACCTCAATGGGTTGACACCTCAAGACGTTAACAATGCACTAATAAAACAGACACAAAGTTAAGCCCACTGACTTTTTAAAAAACTCTCTGTCTAGGAGTATCGGCATGGGCTTATCCTCCATGAGTGCCCGTCTGGGCAGTATCCTGGCCCCTCCCTTGTTAGTGCTCCGTGGGGTCTGGGAGCCGTTCCCGCTCGTTGTCTTCGGGCTTCTCGCCATCACGGCGGGCCTCACCACCCTCCTGTTACCCGAGACGCTGGGCTTGAACATGCCGGAGACGATCAAGGAAGGAGAGGAGATAGGAGGTACGTGAATGACTTGAATAGTGGTTAGCCCCATAAATGTGGCGAATTTAATGGACTACCTCCGTAAATAAAGGCCACACTGGAACATGAACCCGAAAAGGTAGAACTTTGTCACGTTTTTATTTTCACATTTAGACTTTTCTTGTATTTTATTTACGTTTTAGAAGCACACTCGCTCTCTTTAAAGCGATAGAAAAGTAGTCCCCCTTTTTCCAGACGCATATTTCATGTAATTTCCAGGTTCGCTTGCACACATTAGCGTATCTTAATTCCAACACGAAATTACACGAAAAAATGGACGTCTGAAAAAAGGGGGCACTACTTTTTTTATTGCTTTAAAGAGGGTGAGTGTGCTTCTAAAGTGTAAATAAACTACAAACAAAGTCTAAATATGAAAATAAAAACTTGACAGCACAGTTCTACATTTCCAGGTACATGTTCCAAGTGTGGCCTTCGTTTTCGGAGGTTGTCCAGTAAATTGACCACATTTATGGGGCTAAATGGTGGTGTGCTTTTTTCAATTCTGGTTTCCAGACCAAAAGATTCTGACTATTCTAATGAAGCTCGAATAAACAATTTTATAATGTACATACAGGTATATTTTAAAAGTAGATATAGTCTAAGATAACTTAAATGTTAAGTTAAACGCAAAACAACTCGAATGTACATAATACTGTGCCACTTCTAAAATTACATTCAGTAAATTGAAATTGAGTTTAAATTCAAAGAATCTGAAAAATCTGAATGATCATTTACATCCGCGTATCTGTATATCTGGTTCCAGTTGGTGTTCCGTTCAGGCTGCCACACTGGCGGGGCTGGAACCACCGAGTAGAGCGGGCACCAACGGGCCAGCCGTACCAAGAGGTACAGGTCGATACCAACGATAATAAGGCAGATGCTGAGGAATGGGGCGGGGCCAACGAGGGAGGACCGGAGGAGGTGCAACTGACGGAGAACGCATGTTGAGCATCATTTCAAAACTTAGTGTTTGAAAGAATAAAGCAGGGTTTGGATCGAGTCAATTACAAGTCGACACAAGTCAATTACAAGTCAATCACAAGTCAATTACAGGTCAATCACAAGTCAACCATAAGTCAATCACAAGTCAATCACAAGTCAATCACAAGTCAATCACAAGTCGATCACAAGTCGATCACAAGTCGATCACAAGTCAATCACAAGTCAATCACAAGTCAATCACAAGCCAATCACAAGTCAATCACAAGTCAATCACAAGTCAATCACAAGTCAATCACAAGTCAATCACAAGTCACCCAGTCATCAGTCAGATGACCCGCTATTCCGATAAATTGTGATAAGGATAATCATTTTTAATTCATCCTAGTACCTGTGCCTTGAATCCTTACTGGTGATTGACTCGTGGTTGATGGTTTAATTACAACTCTGAAGGACAGATGAAATGTATGACAAAATCATAAAAAAGATGTAAGAATATCTTATTTGTAAAAAGGTGACGTTTTGCTCAGTTTTATTTGAAATTGGTTGTAAGATCGGAGAGGTTTTTTTATGTATACGTTATTCATCTGTTCAGGGGTAAAAAAGAGAGGTTGAAGTGAAGAATTCAATCTTAAACTTTGTCCAGTCTGAAATGCTGTCTTTGTAATATCGTTGGTCAGGAATTACATTGGAGTTTGTATGTCACGCAAGCTCTTATAAAACTGAGCCCGAAAATCGTATTATCTCCTTAAACTGGACCGCCTATCGGTCCGGAAACTTTCCAGAGATCCGCCACGAGAATGTCATGCGAGAATGTCGTGCGGGAATGTCGTGCCAGAATGTCATGCGACAATGTCATGCGCGAATGTCACGCGAGAGTGTCACGCGAGAGTGTCATGCCAGAACGTCATGCGAGAATGTCATGCGAGAATGTCGTGCGAGAATGTCGTGCGAGAGAATGTCGTGCGAGAATGTCGTGCGAGAATGTCACGCGAGAACGTCATGCCAGAACGTCATGCGGGAATGTCATGGGAGAATGACCTGCGAGAATGTCATGCGGGAATGTCATGCGAGAATGTCATGCGACTATGTCGTGCGAAAGCTGGTGAGAATTAAAAGACAATCTGCCCCAAGGTCGATGTAAAACTATCTACGAATGAAGACTGAGAGATTAGCAGCAGAAAACAAACTGAATCTAGCCAGATTAGCATACTTTCCCCTCTCATCTTAATTCACACTGAGAGGAACAATACGAGATTCATGTCACTGAATAAGCAGGGAACACATTTTGTTGTGACGAATTTACTTTGCAAATTCACAGATAAGAGCATAGGGCATCGTCTTAATCTGGCTCAACTCAGTAGAAATATTTACGGAATGTAAGTATTCATAATTATGCACGAGTGAAATAGATTTATATCTTCTATGCAGCTTAAAATGTTAGCAAAAGTGTTTACATGTATATACACCAATTCTATTATTTTCGATTTTTAGTAGTAATATTAGTAGTAGGCCTACATATTTTCAATTTTTAGTAGTAGTCATATTTTAAAAAAGATTTCGACTAGTAGTATGGAGTACTAAGTTGTAGTAGTAAAAAGATTGCCTAGTGCGTGGATATGCTGGTACCTGTGTATTTTGTACATGTTCTGAATAATAATTATGTTTATCAGTTGCTCACTTCAGTATGAAGTCAAATGCCTTGTGACAAAAATTAGAAATTTACAGGGTTTAGAGGAATATCTTAACGTTATTTGCAACTTGTAATATGCCAAGTTGACATTTTGTAGAATAGTCCATGTATTTTAATTATTTTTTGTCATCGGCTTCTGTTGCGAAAGACTACCTGAGAAAAAAACGCGTTTATATTTTTTCCTCGATATTTTTAAACGTTTTACACACGCGACCCCGTGTGTCTTTACCTTTTTTATATGTAAAAACAAAAGTAGAGAAAAGGATACATGCATTCCTCAAATATATCGTTGCTTTTTTTAATTACCAGCAGTCGATATAAGGTAAACAGGGTAATGTTGCTGCTGGAGATATAAAATACAATACATAAATGTTATAAGAATATGGTGGAGTATGTGGCGAACAGTCAGTGCGAATGTTTTCAGTGGTGAAATGTTGTACACTGTACTGCCAACATTAATGAGAGGCTGCTATGTTGTAATTAAGCGGTGTCAAATAATAAGCTTCAACCCGTGAACCATTTTGTTTAAAGATACATGAGAACATCTGCTTTTTGTTCACTTGTTTTTGGTTTGTAGCAACGAAATTAATCAAGTGTATATTCAATTAACTTGTTGAAGTTTGAGCTCATTGGATACTACACATTTTGCGAAACAGAGAAGTTTATGTAGGCCTATCTCCAATCTCTGGGGTCACGTAACTGGATTCCGTTGCTAATGCACGTAAAAAAATGCTAGTGGTTTTTAAAACCACCATCAATGATTGTTTTCTTCCAAAATAATGATACCATTTCAGGCGGAATAATGTCACAGGGTATTCGGTACCAGTCCTATCTTCGCTTTGAGCAAGGATTTTCTCGTTAAGTCGGTAGGTACATTTTGGGTAATATTGCAAATAATATAGGTCCCGTGTGTTGTGTGATGCACGTTAAAGAACCCAGTACTTATCGCCAAGAGAAGGGGTTTGCCCCGGTGTTTCTAGCAGTGGCTGCAGTATGCGCCGCAGCACCTTGTAAACCATTAGGCCTATAAGGTGCTATAATGGATCTCATAATTCTCAAAAACTTTATTTACCTTTCTTCAATAAGAGACATAATTTCTAACGCCTTGAGTACGGTACCTAATTGTTGGTAGATACGTGCGCCATATAAGACTCTGGTATTAAATGTTTAAGTGCCTTTAAAGGATGTATATTTAAATAGTGGGTTACCCCAAAATATAACCTTTTCAGTGCAGACTTTCTCGATTTAGAAAAAAAAACTATGAAATGATGCGTTTGTATTTTGTTGCTGCTGTAATTACCAGTATTCGTACGTGTACGTGCCTTTTTTATGTATCTAAAGATAGAAAATATCACGCTAGATTTTTTATTCTATTTTAATGAGTGTTTATAGTTTTGTCATTTATTCGGTCTGTATTTTTTTTATTCCTCGGATAATTGTTGTTACGGTGATAGACATATTTTTTTCTTGGGGAAGGGTGGGGGATTTCTGCAATTTTGGGAAAAGGAAAGGTTGTTTTATCTTGGTGAAAAAAAATAAGAAATTTCTGTCCAAAATGGTACAACTGTGCTGAACAAAATGAACCACGCGGTATATATATATACCAGCGGTGTCTTATTGGATCACATTATCATATTTGCATAGCAATAGAGGCTTAAAGATGCACCTTACAAAGACATGTGCCTTATTACAGAGCATTTCGGAGTCCTTTTGAAGTAATATTCCTTAAGATTTACAATTGTTTTATCAGCCTGCTGCACTCAATTATATCTTGATAAGAATCTAACAGAAAAAATAACGTTGTTTCGAAAATATACCCAAAATGGTTAAAGATTACCTCATAGAATTAGTTATCGTGTATTTTTGATGAAATAGTTTGATTAAGATACATTTTTAAATTGCTCAAATGGTCTGAACGCAACGGTCCTGCGTCATGTTTAAGCTATGTGCGCATGTTCAAAATGGCGCAAACAAATGACCGTTTTCACTCGTACCCCCCGCCCTGCAAACAGGACGCTGGGATACTCTGATGAATTCACGCTCTGATTAGTTGGATTTTGCGTGACCTGTGACCTGCGCGTCATCAAGGTCATGACTCTGCAAGGTTTGAAACGGCCGTTAAGACTGATTCATTACTCTTTGATTCCAGTTTAGAGATGTTTTATTTTTGTTGAAAAGCGTAATCATGTAGGAAATTCTGTAAAACGTATCTGTGTTGTAAATTTACAATTCCCGTCACTTGCTCAGGCTCCGTTTCGAATCACGAACGGTCGGATTGCATTATGCGATGCCCAAAATTTTGTCCACATGGTCCGCAATGAAACAGAAATCACATCCGGTATGGAATGCGCGCATTTCTATGGGAAATTTTCGGATAGCTTTTGCGCACATTGTCTAACTGCGCCTCTTGAACAGCTGCAGCCAGATGCTCTATACCTAGGTCATATGCCAATTCCTTCACAAGATTCTGTGAAGCTCATCAGAGTATCCCAGCGCCCTGTTTGCAGGGCAGGGGGTACGAGCAGGGCGGGGGGTACGAGCACAATGACAGTTGTGTTTGCTGCCACCAAGCGTCTCAAAAGTTATTATGGCGCTTTACGGGTCTTGGTCGAAAGCGAGGCTGCAGGGGCAGGTTCGGTCACTCGGGCGGTCGGGCTAGTTCTTTACGTACTAGCACAGCGACGAAGCGGAGTAAAAGACAGTGCTGCCTCGATTCTATTCCTACCTCCATGCGTATACTATTCATATGGCGATGAGGGGCAGGGAGCTGAATGAATAAATCGAAATAAAAGCTTGTAATCAGCCAACATATCATTGTGTTTTCAGTCCCTTTCTGACTCCGTGGGTTTCCCCTAAAAATATATATCTGGAAAAAACACTGAGGCCGCTTGTTGCTACTCGGCAAGAAATCGACTAAGGACCAACTGAGCCCAATCGGGTCTAGCTTTCTTTCAGCTTAAGTACGTTTGACAGATTTGATGCATTGCGGCCTTGAAAAATGATTAGCAACCAATGGCCCGACCTAAAAATCGGATTTCTTTAACCCCTTTCTCAGCTTGAAGCCATTAGATAATGGATGCTGTTGGTACAAACTTGAACTGTTTAGGACCGTGCTACACTACACCAGTTAGCATCTGGGAGCGAAGCAATCATGGTAGAGCGTAGAAAAAAGTAGAAAAACATCCCCAGTAGAATAACATCCAAGTAGCGCCAAAAAAAAAAAAAAAGCGGGGGCGAAATTTTTTCCGCCCAAACGACATCCGTTCCCCATCTTCTGATTGGTCCATTACATGCATATCTAATGCCTTGTTCTCCATGCCTTGTTCTCCACAACACAAACCCAAGATAGGCTTTACGTCTTGTGAGAAATGTTCCTTCCTCACATTAGTTATTTAAAAGGTAAAATGAAAACAAGTGAAAAACGCTCACGGGTATTCGAACCCGCATCACCTGATTAGAAGTCAGGATTACTTCCAACCAGTCCACGAATGATTTAAACACCTTTATTCCTTCTTATATAAATTATTCACTAAAGCCCTAGACATCATGCATGATGAATATGCATAACGCTCGGAGAAAGGCGGGGTCGTGTCTCACGCACGCGCACGTGCTCCAGGGAGTCAGCGAGTCGAGTGTGTGTATGTGTAACCAGGCCGGCGGCAAAATTAAGAGCTCCCCCGGGCCGAGGCCGCTCCTAAGACCTGGCAAGCCAACAACGCCGGGCCGAGCGCACGGGGGGTTTGGAGGGCGAGTTTGCTAAAGAAGGCAAGTGCTTTTACTTCAGTTTGTGTACTTATTAACATTTGTGGAAATGGATAGAGAGCTTGCACGGGCGCCCTCACTGTAGAAAGGTCCGTGTGCACATGCATACGAAGAGACACAGTACGTCTTCCAAAAAGTGTCCGTCTCTAAATATTTTTGGAAATAACCACGAAGTAAATTTTGAAAATGTTTAATTGTGTAGATACTCCAAGCAATATGCTGGGCCTCAACCCATACGAGTTTTATTTCATTCCCCTCACGCCTTACTGCACAATGGTCAATGGAACACAACAGCACTTTTGGACACTGACCAAGTTCCTTGTCTAAATCAATTTCTGTGCTTTCCTATGTAAGCTGTGTACAATTGAATTAAGCCTTCATGTTGTGAAAAGGGGCTGCGGTTGGGATTGGAATTACTTGCCTGGCTTTCAGTCCTTATTTGCCCCTTATGATGAGCATTAAACTGAGGTCTTGCCATGATAACTGGTTGCCAGGCAAATGATTCCAATCCCCAACTGCAACCCTTTATCACATCATGAAGGATATTACACAGCTCACTTAGCAAAGCACTGAAATTGATTAACCCTAACCACCCCAACTCCATCAAAATCCATCACCCCCATTCGGTGGATTTTGGGGGAAATGGTCCAAAGGCCTGGCGTGACTAAATATTGATGGAGTATGATGGACTTGGGCATAATGGCCTGAAGCAGTGCTAGTTGTATCCGATTGATTTTGCCTAGCTTTCTGTACTGCTGTTGTGATAAAAGTCATGTGTAGCAAGTCCATGAATGTCAACCAGTGCAATTGATGGATGTTGATGGACTTGGTCCAGTTCCTAGTAAAATACACTAGGGAGTTAGGGTTAAGGCAAGTAGGTCACAGTTGACCATTGTGCAGCGAGTCGTGAGGGAAAATTAAATTACATGATGCCAAGGATTAGGAGTACCAGCCCAATCAAACATTTTCAAAATTTACTTCGTGGTTTTGTTATTTAAAAGATATTTATACGGACCCTTTTTGGGGGACATACTGTAGAGTCACTGAATTTAAATAGCAAACCTCTGCGCAAACAAGGCTTTGTGTAAGCTCTCTATGTATCTGCAAAATATTTATTTTATGGTTGAATGTTTGTAATACTGAAGAGTAACATTCAACCAAATGCAAACAGATGAGATACACTGTGCTAGATATAACTTCCATGACAAACTATCTGAACAATAACTAGCATTACGCCATTGACAGGGCCTCCTGGGAACTGATAGCATACCTGGGGGAGGGGGGGGGGGTCTATAGTGGAAATATATTGACCCAATCATATTTTGCGTCCACACCAATGGCGAAGCAACGTTTTATTATATTACTATTAGCAACTTTATTGAAATGCATTGATTTGAAACTTTAATCATAAAGGAAATCATCAAAGAAATAAACCAAAAACAGCCAGATTGTGGTTTGATAATGATCAATCCTGATTTTAATCTCTAGTTTTTTTCAGTGGTTGATTGATGCAACACATAGTACACGTAAATACACAGCACATGACACAACTGACTTGATATAAGCAACATTTTGAATGGCACTACATGTCTATGTCGGTAAGGGCCTCAATGTTATTTTAAAAGCCGTGAAATGGGAATTGTCTAAGCGCAAGCAGCAGATGTTCTAGATTAAGCGACTTTTATAAAGTACACATGGTATTAATAACAATAAAGTTTACAGTATCATTTTATGATGAAACTTTTCTTTTCTGGGAGGCTTTAAGACAGCACTGAATATATGGTGCTGTTCCCTCATCCCCTAGTGTAACACTGATTTGGCAGTGTTGTAGTACTCTTACTCGATACTCGTACTCGAGTACTACTCGAGTACATTTTAGAGACCTTGTCCTCGTACTCGTACTCGTACGTCAAAGAACTCATACTCGAAATGTCGAAATTGCACTCGATCACCAAAATACTCGTAATCAAATAGCAGTACTCAAAACAAAAATTGCATAGCTTGACTTACTACGGCCTTATTTTATCGATACTTTCAGTTTGAAATGGTTGATTGGCTTGCGGAGAAATCAAAGTTTCCTGATTTTCCTCTGTGCACGTCCGGACAAACACATTTAATAGCTAGCCATGAGTGGGTCTGTATATCAGTCTGACTGGACCTGGGCCAATTACGCACAATGAACCATTTGCCGTATGGCCGTATTCGGAAATAGAAGTACTCGTACTTGTACTCGTACTCGGAATACAAGTACTCGCACTCATACTCGTACTCGGAAGTACAAGTACTCGTACCCGGAGACCTGTGCTTGTACTCGGCAGTACTCGGTACTCGGGAAAAAAGTACTCGACTACAACACTGATAATTATTTGGCAAGACTGTTTTTCGTTTTAACCCATTAATCCTAGTTTGGGGAGTGGGGCCTAGTGGTTAGCATTTGTGACTCGTGGTCAGAGGGTCAGGGGTTTGAATCCAGCTGCTGGTCATATGTCGTGTCCTTGGACTTGGCAAGTCACTTCACCTCAACTTGCCTCTCTCCACCCAGGAGTACAAATGGGTACCAGTATTAGCTGGGGAGTAACCTGCGATGGACTGGCATCCCATCCAGGGGAAACAGACATATTGTCAGTGGTTTCGTGCCAAGGAAACCGGAGATAAATGCCGGCCTGATGGGTCATATTGGCTTATGACAGAACTTCAGAGCCGGTACGACTTAAAACCGCCCAGCCTATTACTCCCCTGTTACCCCCGAACTACCAGTGTACTCAATGGTTTCATGTATTCTCCTGTGAATAAATACAATGTAGTACAATGTAGTAAAGGTGCTAATGGGTTAATGAGTTCTTCCTGCAAGACAACTCGTCATAGTTTCTTCACGGCATCTTCCCTGCACTGTTTGGAGATGGACTCCGACAGAAGACTGCTAGAGGAACGGACCCAGACCTCCAGTGACTTGCTAGTTGGCAGCTTGGCATGCAGGAGACAAATAGTGCCACCAAGGAGTGTGCCGCAGGCAATACCCTCATTACCTGGAAAGATTGGAGTTAAAAAACACCAGTTCAGCCAAACAGGAATAGAATTGAATTCAATGCGTTTGTTGATCCTGACCATACAAGACACCTTCAATGTTTGCAGGTTTCTGAAAGGTGGAACCTAGTCTGAGGAACAGACATTCACGACGTGGGCAGAGCCACGGTTGAACGATTGATATATCATAGCATGTAAATTTTATGCTACCCGTTCACCAGCCATTCGGAGTGGTTTTTAGAAACTGTGACTTCATTTTGATCTGAAATGTGGACTCAGCTGTTGATTGGTCAATTTGGATGTCCTGTTTTTGTAATACAACAACGGGTTAAAGAAGACCCGATAGAAGGCGTCTGCTGAATGGTCAGAATCTCGAGGTCAAGACGCAGTCTGGTTGTATAATTAACCGCCGAATCTGCTCGCATATCATGGACCCTTAGATATTCCATAGATTAGGCTTTACTCGGAACTTGAAGGCCATTAAATGTTTCAGTACAAACAATGAACAAAAACTGTGCAAAGCAACCAAGACAGAAATACAGTGAAAAGAAAGCTAATAATTTAAAACAATGGATAAAAAAAAATATCTCACCGATTATTTCAACAAGATGGAGGTTCAGCTCCTGGGTCAGTAGGGTCATGACCTTTGACATGGAGACAGTTGCAGCCACTTCGACGGTGAATTTACAGTCGCGTGTTTGCCTCGGCCACTGCTCCCCGAATTCGGCTGTTTGCAATTTCAGAGGTCTAAATGCAATTATTGAGAGAGAAATCAAGGCAATTTTGAACTTTTGAAATTTTGCAAGAGAAAGAAAATGAGTTGTAAGGATACAGATCTAACAGAAATGTTCATGGGGAATAGAGTTATTACTGAATGTGAACACAAAACTCTTTCTACAAAAATGAGCTCAAACTTTGCACAACTATTGTGCATGGAGCGTCTTTTCTTGCATACCAAATTCGGAGAGAAAAAAAAATCTTACACTGCATAACCAAGCTCTTTTTGGGTTAAACCCAAGACAATACAAACTTAACATCAGTTTACACCAACAGTTTACCTTAACAAATCACTGACCAGGACTGGTGAACTATTAACCCTAACTCCCTAGGCCTCTTTGCTAGGATGTAGCCTCAATCCTGCAAAATCCTCCGATTGGCCTCTTGGAAAAATAGCATATAGCCTTAATCCTGCAAATTCCTCCGTTATTTCTTGAATATGGTCCATGGAGGGGTGACCACTGCCTGAATCCTGCAAAATCCTCCGGCTATGACTGTCAATAGGCTGAGGCAGAGGCAGTGACATCCTGGAGCAGTACGGACTAAATTTATGCACGACTGAGCATAAACAACACAAGGTCCGGCCCAAGACCTTGACACAGTGCGTACTCCGAAATCAGCAACGCACTTTTGCCATGTAACCTCAATCCTGCAAATTCCTCCAATTTGCAAAAAGGATTTTGGAGGATTCAGGGCGGTTAGGGTTAAAGAATAGTCTACAGTGTATCTTACTGTTTTTTGTTTGTTTTTGTACACCCCCCCCCCCCAGCTCATGCTTTTACTATTTCTATCAATTGTCCACTTTTAGTTTACCTTAACAAATCGCTGACCAGGATGGGTGAACTAAAGAACATTCTACGGTGTGTTTTAGTGTGGTCTTTGTAGGCTACCTCCCCACCCAGGCTCATGCTGGGGGCTGGGGAGACACAGCCCAGCTCTGCCGTCAGGATTGTGGTTGCGGTCGGGTCTAGGTCGTCTGCTGATAGAGGCGAGAGATTTGGGTTGTCTTGTACCTGAATTAAAATGAGGACACAGAGGACAATCTTAATTTGTGTCTCATGGAGCTCTACCACTTTTTCAGCCAACAAAACCTTACAGGGAAAATATTACAAACAACATTTATTAGCTAGATGATTTGCTTTATAAGGAGAGTGAACATTGAGTTATCTGGTTTGTCGTAGTGAACACAAGATACCGCAATAAACATGGACAGACTGCATTGTATTCAATAACAATGAAGTTTCGTTTTTGGATACGTGGTTACACATATTTTATTGACATGTTATGCAAGAGATACACTATTGATGCATAAAACAATAAATCAAAGACAGCTTTTTCTTTACCTACTTACTTTCAAATTTAAGGTAACATCCAATTTAATTTTTAACTGGGTGATGGAGTCTTTTGGGCTGATGTTTGAGACATTGAAGACAAGTCCCAACGCATCGGGCTTCCAGACTTTGTAAAGCGTGACAACGAGCAGAGTGTCACTACAAAGTTCAATTCTTTCTCGGCCTCTTGGAAAGTTCTGCCAGTCCGTTGGCAGTGGGTTTTGTAAGAGTTCCGGCGGACTTTGAAGGGACATGTCCTCGGGATTGGAGTCCAGAATTGAAACCTCTTTGGTGGGTTGGGCAAGAGATGACAGCGTAGTTGTGGGATGGTTTTGAGAAATGGATGTCCTAGTTTCCAAGAGGTTGAGGTCTGAATTTCCGACTGATAAACTGGACTCATCCCTGGATGGAGAGTCAGCTGAGTTTGTGTTACACTTGACCTCAGAGTAGTCGGGGAGATTTTTGTCGGCATGGACTTGGATCTCTACAAGGTGGTTTGTTTTCTCTTCTTTGGGTTCATGAGCCGTACTATAAACTGTGTCCGGAAGTCCGCAAGGGTCAGTTGCATGAGGACATCCATGATCAACCAACCCCTCATCTTGCAACAAATCGGAATTGGTCTGTCCCACTTCTGTCCGTAAACTTGAGTATTCTTTGCTCAGATCCATTCCTTTAAACTCTTCATACATGCTGGGCTGTTGTTCATGAGTCCTATCTGCAGCTTTGTTCAGAGGTCCACTTAGATGTGTCTCTACATTTGCAGCTGCTGAGAGTTGGTCTTCTTTCGTCTTAAGTGGTGCTTCTTCTAGGAGTTGCTCACTTGGATTTGACGAACTTTGATTTAGGGCGGGTTGCCTGTCATGCTTTGCATTTTTATTGTGCACTGTCTTTTCTTCAGTCAATCCCAGAAGACCATCAAAATTACTATCACCTACTTCATGGCGCTTCTCTGTCCTGTCGGGATTCTCTTCCCGATACCGAGTTTCAGAGGGTTCAATCGGAAGAGGGTCTCTGTCGGAAGACGGAATGTCGAGGTCAGACAACAGGAGCAAGTCTGTTGAACTTGACGATGCCTTTGTGTCCTGGTGGCCTTCGTTGGTAGGCGGCATTTCCGGTGATTTGCGAGATCTTTCTGCTGTGGGCGCTGGCTGGGGCTTTCTGTCAATAGGTTTCTAGAATTGACAGAAAAGTTGATATCATGATTCAAATTCGTGTTGGTTTTAGCTGAAAAATATTTGACATAATGGCATTAAAAGGTGTATATAATTAAGTTACCTACCCAACAAACACAAAATCATTTGAATTCACTCTAAGTTATAGTTGAACAGCAAGTCAAAGGCACCAAGGTAACAGGGACAGGAAAAATGTCACAATTTGGACCCTAAATTTACAGAATGACCCAGATGCCTATGAAAACAATACAAATTCCAATTTGGGTTTCATGTTGGGCATGGTTCCAAATTGGGCACTCACAGCAGTGAAACTTGCATTAAGAATAAGCAACAATTTCCAATGTTAAGCCGTATCCGTATCACGTGGCTACGGCCGGGAATAACACGCGCACCTATGGAAGCCACAGGCTAGCGGCTGCAGCCACTTCCCAAAGACTCGTGTGTTATTTGCGGCCGTCGCCAAGTGATTCAGACCCCGCCTTAGAAGTGTTCTGTCCTCAGACCTTGCTGCTGGTGGTCATAGACTTGTGCAGTCCTCCAAACAATGCCTGGGCTAGCTCCTTCTTCCGACTGTCCTCCTCAGATGGGTCGTCTACGGAGGGGGGATGGGAGCTTGTGGTCCTCCCTAAGGCCGTGGCTGTGCTCAACTGAAGAGAAAATTTTGAAAAGTTGATGAAAAGCTGATCAGTGATGAAACTTGAACCTTATAACTGCATTAAAACTGGAGAGAAACACAAGTCGATTGCAAAGTAGGATTGTCATTCATGCTGTTCCCTAACAAATTCCTCGACAAGAGAAGGAACAATCACATACCTGTACACTTGGCTGTACGACTCTAGCGGGACTGCTCGGTGTAGCAGACGGAGTCACAGGAACTTGACTGTCACTGGTTTTAGGCCGAGTGTGGGATCTTGTAGTTGGTGTCGCCTTGGCATAACCCTGACTGCCCCAGACTCTCTTGACACCATCCAGTTTCAAACCTGTTGAACTACACGTAAAATAATCAGGTGGCAAATATGCATCCAGTAAAGCAGACCTGCAGAGGGTATTGCTTTAACTGAACTAGCCAGCTGACCCCGGCAAAATTTATATCTCCTCGGCACAAACTTCCAACCCCTCCCCCCCCCCCCTTAAAAAATGGGATAAGTTGACTTTACCTCTCTGCCATCTGTGGTTCAGCACTGTTTCCCGATGCTCCAGAGCTCATTGAGGGTTCTGGAGAGACGGATTTTGTTTCCATCCTTCCTTCAGGTGTAGAGATGGAGGTGGTGGTGCCACTCACGACCGAAGGGGATGGGCTTTGGTAGGGCACAAAGTTGAGCCCTGAGAACATAGGTTTCATCTCTGTGGAGAAGACGGGGGAAAAGTTACTTAAGATGAGCTGATATTTTTGGTATCTAAAGATGCGCAAGGCTCGAAGCTAAAAAGTCATTACAGCTCGGGTCGAGGGGATTCTGCCCCTCCCCCCGGCCCTTTTAGGGTTAATAAGCAGCTTGGTGAATGAACTGGAACCTTGTTGCCTAAAAGTCACTGTACCTGGGGATGCCTGTTGCCTCTCTGCCTGCCGCTGCTGCCTGGGTTTATAGGGGGCCGCACCCTGGGCTAGAGCTTCAGACACATACTCATCAAGGAAGGATAAAGTCCAGTCAAACTAAAAGAGGGAAAAGGAACAATTCCAGGAATGAATATTGTCTTGAATTTCCTGTATTGAAAAAAATCATCATGCTGTGAATAGGGAATAGACAGGAAGTTTTTTTGGAGGAGAAAATTCAACCTTTTTAAATTATTGAAGCAGGAAATATCCAGTTATGCAAATAGTTCAAGATTAAGGGGGGGGGGGGGGGAGCACAAGCTGCTCTTACCTGCAATTCCTTGGCAGAGTCTGGTCTGGGGTAAACTTCTTTCATCAAATCCATATCATTGCACAATTCTTGTAACTCGCACGCTCTCTGCAAAATCCAACAACTTTGAAATAAACAAGATGATGGAAATATTTAAGTACGCCATTGTTCAGCTGGCACAAAATGAGGTGACCATTAATGGCAACAACATTTCATCCAGCATAAAAAAGCTTCTTTAAAAATGTTAAGTTTTTGTCCAAGATAAATGCCTGAAAAAGGGTAGACTGAAAATCAATTTGGGACGCCAAACTTTGGAATTTTGAACTTTACCTCAATGACAACCTATTTAAAAGCTATATAGAATCTGTTTCTGCCATGAACTACCCAATGTGTGAACTCGTTTTAGAGTCAAGACGCCTTTTGTCAAATCAGCTTGGATTGGATCCTTAACATTTCTCTACCCTTGCTCTTGAACATATTCAATTTTTTTCTTCAAATTGTATGTTTTATAAACGGAAAAACCTTCTTGTTTCCATTTTGGATTTGTCCAACCCTCTGAAGATACGCTTACGTTTTGGGTTGCTTCTGTGCCCACAAACGCACAAAAGATGTGTACCAGAATAATTGTAGGGTCACAAATTTGTCTCGAAATTTGTACAGTAAATACTCCATAACTTAACGTATGCGGATTTCTTTGGTCTCATTTAAAAGTAAATAACTAAGTAACTTATGTTTTCCTAAAAATAGCAATTTTTCAAGAATTTTGATTCCGCAGTCAAGTGGAGACAGAAGTCAGATTCAAGGTTAATTATATTCAGTTGCTATACAAAGTTACAGATTGCTACCTGTCTGAGTTCCGTCGATGATCCTCTCTGGCCCACCTCAATCGCCCTGGCGACGTCTTCGCTGATGGTCGCGCAGCTAGCAACGGCTTTGGTCAGAGCGGCCATGGGCCATATCTTCATGTCGTCATCTCGTCGCTGCTCCAGCTGGGAGCAGAGAATGCCGATGGTCTCTGTAGCCGGTGGCGCGGAGGGAAGGTGGGCAAACTCCCCAAGAACCTGAGAAGATCCAACACAGAGTTCCATAATATTCAAACATTTTAAACATAGAAGACATTGCCACCTTACCCTGATTAAAAAAACAATTATCGATTGGAACATGTTTATCTTGGATCTAGCTGGTAACAGAAGCATTTCTTCCTGCACTGTACGGTTTTATTTATTCAAAGTTACAATGGGTTATTAAAAAGTTATGATGTGTTATAACATCATCTAACTCCACGTACAGTTCATACCAAATCTCATGGGCAACGGACATTTCATTATGCAGCACCAGAAGCTTGGAATAAATTACCTCACCAAATAAAGCTCAGCCTATCCTTGGAAACTTTCAAATCACACCTTAAGACACACTCGTTTAATGCTTTCAGAAGCGAATAGAGACCTTTTTTGTGTATTTTGCACTAAATAAGAATAGTTTATTATTATTAATATTACTATTAAAGGTTTCTTACCCAACAGCTTATCTGCCAAAGATCATTGGATATGTTCGTCTGATTGAGAAGGGGACGGTAGAGTTGTAGTGCATGTTGTCCTATATCACCACCATTGCTAATATCTACACACACACATGAATACAAAAAGCTGGTAGTAAGATTCGCTTGTCCCAACTGCCTTATGGAAGGCCATTGTGATCTCTTTCATAAAATGTTGTAAAGGAAATGCAGGCGCAGCATAGCATTGTGGGTAGGTCATCGCAATAATCATTGCACATAATCGGTGTGCACAGGTCATTAGCTATACAGGGTGTGTGACTCGTCTTAACAGATTGAGCATAAAGTTGGAAACTGCCATTCTGCAGTAAAGTGGGGCAAAGCAAAAGTTTGAAGGGTGGTCGATTTTTTGTTTTCAGGTGAATCTCAATCTGCAAGTCCTGTTCCACCTTTCCCCATCTTTGTTTGTTCTCTCAAACATCTCTAAAACCTATTTTTATCCTGTTTTATTAGTTGACCGTTCATTAACTTTAATACAAGAGGGATTTTTAAATGCCATTTTCTCAAAAAGTGAACATTGAACCCCCACATGTTTGATACCATTAGAAAGCTCTTATAATGCAGAATCCAGAAATACAATTATCTCAATTCTTAAACAGTCCAACTTTATGCTCATTACATGTATGTATACGACTGGTCGAATGTATCATACAATGTAGTGCATATCACACCTATCTGATACACCGTGCCCTCTGGAGACATGCACACAATAGAGAACGAAAGATTGTATACGTCTCCACAGGGCAATTTCAATAGATGAATACGTCTCCACAAGGTTTTCACGAAACAGATATTTGGATTTTACTCAAAAACTAGGAATTTCCAAGGTATGTCGATCCGTCGCAAATGGTAGAATTTTAGAAAAGGGATATTAAGTCCGACTTTCAGCCGAGGAAATTAATTCTGGTTAAAATAAGAGCATTTTGAAACACCACTTTCAAACTCGAAAACTTTAGTACACAAGAACAAAGAAATGTCTCCACAAGGATACAAATTTCAGTATTGCAGAGTATACAGTGTTTATGAAATACGCATGTGAAGGACAAAACCCAATATTGAATGCATGCAAACAGTCGACAAATGTGAACCAACCGTATTTATTTTGCACAAGGGCATGGTAATTTGTACCTTTTGGGGTCATGTGTGACTGAAGTTGGAATTTATTGTCGGAATAATGATGACTTCATTTACCTACCTTTCTTTAGTACCGTAATGACATGATTAGCAAGATTTTCAGGTACTAGATCTCCACCTATCAGCAGGACTTGAGTTATAGTGTCTAGATACCACTGGATTGATGGCTGGTATGTGGACAGAGAGTTAAAGGAATTACCGAGTGTGTCTATAAAGTTACTTAGTTGATAATGAAGATAATGAACTGTCTAGAATATACTTCTTATATATTTTGTTTAAAATATTCAAGAAGGCTGTACGAAACATGATATCCATACAACCATTATCACATTATTCTCGTCATATGCAAATGCATAGAAACCATTTCCAATTCTTTACAGGGTGAGTAAAAAAAAACCGGAACCCAAACCCCAAAACTATATTTCTATTTAAGAAAATATGTAGCACCAAAAATAATAATGACTGGAAAGCCAATTTCATAAGCCACTTTTAGATGAAAAGATTACTGAAATTGGTCAATCCGTTCAAAGAGTATCACCATTTAAACACAATGACCCTAAAACCTCTCTCGTCCAAAAAATGTGATTCCAACAATCGTCGTCACAATTGTCTTCAAACATCACCAGCGATGAATTCTTAGTTTTAAACGTTAACAATATGCAACAAAGTCCTTTTGAAGGCCCGTCTTTTAAAAAAATATGATTTTATAAATCATATTGTTTGCCTAACCAGGGTTGTTAATCAAAATACTGTGAGTTGGTGACAGTTGTTGAAACAAGTATTCCGTATCATTTTCTTTGTTGTTCCAAACAGTCTAAACACACAATATATTGCATTTTTTTTTGGACGAGACAGGTTTTAGGGTCATTGCGTTTAAATGATGATATTCTTTGACTGACTGACTTGTGATATACGTGTATATCCACTACAACACTGTCATTTGGTGTATGTAAGGATATTGGTCAGCGAGTTGCACGATCTTGGACAGCAGGTCCCGTCTGATGAATTTGTCCCTGGTACTTTGCAGGAACGTCAGGAGCCGATCAGTGATCACCTCCACGTTGACACTGGTCGTCATGCGGTACAGGAGATCCAAAGTCTGTATGAAGGAGTAAAAACAGTAGTGGGTGATGCTAACAAAAAGTTTTCTAATCATAGGGTTTGCGACGTTAGGGAGGGGGGGGGGTCTCATTAGGAGATGCTGCCCACTGTAGAAAATGTACATATGTGCACATTCACATTTTTTAACCCTTCTTCCTTTTTGTAATGTACTGTTTTAAATGGTTCTAAACTGATTCATGCTTTAACGTAATGTATATAGGATCACTTGCCTCTTGTGCATTTTATTCCGTTGAAGCACAACAAAGTTGCTCAAAATCTTAAGGGTGCATAACAACTAACTTGAAGTTTCAGGCAGTGGATACTATACATTGTGAGAAAAACTCAGAAACACAATGTTTGGGGTCTCATAACCAGATTCCATTGCTGACGCAAGTAAAAAAAAAACTGTGCCTGCAGGCACACTTTTTTAAAACCACCTTCAAATATCGTTTTCTTCTGAATGATAGCCTTTCAGGCGGAATAACTTCACAGGGTACTTGGTACAAATCCTGTCCTCACTTTGAGTAAGTACCTTGGGTACTTTGCCGGGTAACTGTAAACGTTCCTACGTGCCTTTAATGCAGAAATTTGCCAAGCAATACTTTCTGCTTGGAAGCCCCATGGAATGTGCACGTTGTTAAAATACCAAACTGGTTTATTCATTCCAAGGTTTCCAAATCTGACCTTTAATTTGATGGTGTCATCGGCATCGTCCAGGCAGTCAATGACGGTCAGCTGGTGCTCCTCCGCACAGCTTGGGAACACTTTCAGTATTGCACTTAAAGCACAAATCCCTGCCACCAAAAAAAACCCCCAGAATAATTTGCTAATTTCTAATATGGTAAAGATAGGAGTTTGATTTGGAGATATGAACCCCAGACCAATGAACGGCAATGCCAGTGTTCTACCTATCAAGCTTTTCAAATTTCCGAATGGCTACAAATTAATAAAGACAATCTCATGAACTGCTTCATAAACTGTTCATTTATATCTTCAAACATATGATCAAAAATATTTGCAATCTGTTTATGCTGGATTTCCTTTTTATATATGGTTGTTGCTATGCACGCATTCTGACAGCATCTCTTCTAGGAATAACACTATTTGACGATAGAAGCAGGAGATACCAGTTTCAAACAGTAAACATTGGGTCTAGCTCTATTTATTCCCAGTTCATGCGTCCAAGACTGAGTTTTACAAGTCAAGTGTGGTGACTCATGTTTTGAATCCGAGTGCATGTCAAGTCCCGAGTCTATGTGAGTCAAGAGATGTACGTGACTCAGTTCAAACTCAAGTCGGAGTCCGAGTCATGAGTGTGATGAGTCATGAGTGTCTGCTATAAATCAATGTCAATGATCCTCACCCATGTATTTCAGGTTATAGTTCAAGGATTTCAGGAATTTGCTGATGCATGTAGCGGCCTTGATCAGTAGTTGTTCCTGTGGATAGATGCTGGCGACGGTGATCAGGCACTCATACTGCACAGCTGACAAAAAAAATAACATCCAACGATTCACAGTTTAGTTAAGGTACAATGTGAGGGGCAAATTCTAGTTAAACTCAGTCAGAAAATGAAAATTGACATAACTTGCACAAGATTATGTCAAGATTATGACAGCCATTTTGTAAAATAAATGTCACGTCGTCTATTCAGACTCACCGAAGGCAATATTGTGGCTCAGTGCCGAGGTCTGCTGAATCACATCATCCAGGAGATCATACATTAAACTGCTGTAGCTGTGAAAGAAAAGAAACCATACATACTGGAATTTGTATCCTTGTGGAGACATTCCTTTGTTCTCGTGTACTAAAGTTTTTAAGTTTGAAATTGTAGTTTAAAAATGCTCTTATTTTAACCTGAATTAATTTCCTTGGCTGAAATTTGGAATTAATATCCCTTTTCTAAAACTCTTCCATTTGCGACAGATCAACATACCTTGGAAATTCCTAGTTTGTGAGTAAAATCCATATATCTATTTCGTGAAAACCTTGTGGAGACGTATTCATCTATAGAAATTGCCCTGTGGAGACGTATACAATTTTTTGTTCTGTATTGTACACACGTCTCCAGAGGGTACGGTGTATCAGATCAAAAGCTTGTATACAGACACTGGATAATGTATTTCTTTTACTTTGTTCTGTGAGTAAGCTGTTGACAGAAGTGGCATTGTTATATCATGTGCTTGGAAAGTGTAATTTCACTGGTCTGGGATGGCCACGCATCTGGACAATAAAAATGCACGTCACACACTGAGGATGATATCGCACTGCGTTCATTGCGCGCATTGCGTACACGTGTTGAACCTACTGGCGCGATAGCTTTGCGCAATGAGAACTGTAACGTCAAACGCTCAGCTCAAGACATCAAAACCTTCAGTTATCAAAGGTTACATCGCAGTGACTTAATTTATTTCTCACACAAAAAGTTACGAACAGTTATCTTTTTGAGTTATTGGCACGATATAACAAAACAATTGTTGACTGCTGTGATGTGGGATATGCCGTTTTTGACCCCCTTGGGGCGCATAGCACCCTCAGCTTCACCTCGGGTGCTATGCGCCAAAAAACGTCATATCCCACATCACAGCAGTCAACAATTATTAAACATCACCTGGACTGAACAGTATGTTTTCATAAATGTTCTGGAGAAACTGGGAACCAAAAAATGAAGAAACTTCATTTTTTTCTCAAGCTTACTGTTCGTCTCCTTCACCCAGTCTCGCCAGCATCCGGAGTAGTCGGATCTGCATCCAAGGAGCCGAGATACCGTGGTACTCAAAATCGGACGACAACTTGTGTTCCGCGACCTGCCTCAGGACAGCCACTAGAGGGCGCACTAGCTGTTTGTTTGCGGCAGGGTTCTCCTAAATAGGCCAATCAAATTCATATATCAAGAAAGAAATTCTTTCAAAAAAATTTAGCACGGTAACCACCCCACCCTAACCCTGACCTCTTAAACGACAGAAACAAATCCATTTTATTTACAGAGGTTTCCTTAAATTAACCCTAACTCCCTAGGCCTTTTTGCTAGGATGTAGCCTCAATCCTGCAAAAACCTCCAATTGGCCTCATGGAAAAATAGCATTATAGCCTCAATCCTGCAAATTCCTCCATTATTTCTTGAATATGGTCCGTGGAGGGGTGACCACTGCCTGAATCCTGCAAAATCCTGCAGCAGTGACTGTCAACAGGTTGAGACTTGGCCAGTGACATCCTGGAGCAGTACGGAGGATTTCAAGCATAATCAAGGCCTATATTTATGCATGGCTGAGCCAAAACAACACAAGGTCTGGCCCAAGACCTTGACAAAGTGCATCTTACGAAATCAGTAATGCACTTTTGCCATGTAACCTCAATCCTCCAAATTCCTCCACTTTGGCAAAGAGGGTTTTGAAGGATTTCAGGGCGGATTTCAGGTCCCCCCCCCCTTAAAAAAAAAATGAAAAGTGAAAATGTCATTGAATAAAAAAACAAGAAAATTCACAACCAATTTAAGCACTGTGACCTAAAACATCTTCTAAAAAAAACTTTGTTTCGCTCCTTTCTTTCATCAATTATTGCCCGGAATTCCTAAACCTACCCATTCAAAGTAGTCAGTCGACTTGTCTCATATTTCAGAGTCCTTGGGGACTCAGGAAAGGACTCAAAACACAAAACAAAACTCTGGATCAAACTACAATCCACTCCATATCATCAACCTGTCCATACACATTTCAGATCACACAGTTCGTTAGGATGGTGGCAAGTCCTCACCTTGATCAAGTCGCTGTGGATATGCAGAGCCGCGTTAGTCACGGCGGAATCCCGGTCGCACAGCGCCTGCTTGAAGAGTGCGTCTGGATTCTGCAGCATGTGAGGGGCTTTGGTGTACAAGGCGCGCAGCGCTAGGACGGCTTTCTTCCTGACCAGGGCCCTGTTGGTAGAAGAAACAACAGCCAGAATGAGGAGTGCATTCTGTTCTCATAAACCATGCAAACATTGCTCTAAATGATATGTTTTATCAGACTTAAAATCCATTTTATGACTATAACTACAGTTATTATGCACACTGTTGAATTGTCCAAAATGTACGTCTGACACAGTGGTAAAGTAAAGTCTGTCACGAGCCAATGTGGCTCATCAGGCCGGCGTTTATCTCCGGTTTCAGTAGCATGAAACGACTGAGAATATTTCTACTCCCCCTGGATGGGCTGCTAGTCCATCGCAGGTTACTCCCCAGCTAATACCGGTACCCATTTATACTCCTGGGTGGAGAGGGGCAAGTGGGGGTGAAGTGGCTTGCCCAAGGACACAATATATGACCAGCAGCTGGATTCGAACCCCTGACCCTCTGATCATGAGTCACGAACCCTAACCACTAGGCCACACACTCCCTGAATTGTCCAAAATGTACGTCTGACACAGTGCAATGACCCCAAAGTGGAATTAGGTAACTTTTATGAGTATGTCTTCTTCTTTTTTGAATTCTTTATACAGCCCCAAAACCTGTACTGCTTCCAAGAGACCCAGTTGAATTGTAACCTATATTGCGGCAAGTGCTCACTTTGGATGCTTGAGTTTCTCTTCAACCAACGGGAGGACAGCTGGGACCATCTCTGAGCCAATCAGCTTGCAGACGGCGGTCAACGCCATGCAGTTGTGCAGCATGTTGGTGCTGCTGAGGTCTCGCTGTAGGGTGTTGACGAGCAGTAGGATCAACTCGTGGTTCTCGTGCAGGAACAAGCCGATGGCCAGATAACCTAGCATGGGATCCATAACACAGCCTTAGTTACTTTTAGGACCCCTTCACCTAATTAGCTGGGAAGGCTAGATTTAATTTTTATTTCTGATTCATGGCTCTGAAGGATTTTTTTAAAAGGGAAGTAAAGTTCGAGAGCAATTGGGTTGACAAGCGATGCATGTAGAGTGGTTGACTTGGGAAAAAAATAACAATGGCGAAAAAATAGAGGGGTCCTAAAAGTAACTAATGCCCATAACACAAACATTCTTAATAGTTGTGGCCACTCTGGAAAATTTGAGTACATGTAACAGAAGCCTGCTGCAGTGGTATCTGATCTCGCTGAATCCAACAAAACCAACAACATTATTATGCATGTGAATCCTGAATCCAACGGACGCCAGTAGCAGAGAGTGCAGCTTTCTGAATGGAGCAAACACTGACAGTATCTGAAGCTCACAGAATTTGCCCACAAATCCGTCAACTGGAGCAAAATGGCTTGCCCAACCAAAGAAGATCCAACAGAAATATTGACTGCTGGTGGATATTGATTGATTCTGTCAGATTCTGTTGGCACGCCTAAATAATATAACAACTCCTTACCCACTCTCTTTGTTGCAAGCGATCCCTGCTGAGCAAGCTTGATTGCACTGATGTAACTGAAGCCCGCGGTGTAGCCCAGTAACTCACAATACATGATCCGGACCAGGTATTCCTTGATTTTAGCCTTTAACAAGAGAACACAAATATTTGCCAAACTTCACAAATAAACTGATACTAGGCATAACCAAAACAGCTTTAAAAAAACCCAGACATCTGTACCATGGAATAATGTCCAAGTCATCCAAATCCATGAATTAATTCTGTAAAAGCTTCAAATCGTTTCATCTATCCCCACGTAAAGTCTTAGAAGAGGTCAACCTTCCTGAATCCTGCATAATCCTTCAAATTCTCCTGGTGGATTTTGATGGATCGGGATGCGGCTTACCACTGTCGTATCAGGCTGTTGCAGCTTCAACTTGAGAAGTTCCAGCTCCTTCTGAATTGCCTTCTCTTCTTCCTAAATAGAATTTAAGACAAGAGCATTAAACAACCTCAATATCGTCGATGTGGCCGGCAGCCATAGGCGCCTTTACGTGCCAGCGGCCCGACCACGTTGTAGCCGCGTCCTTCGCATTTCAGCATACCAGCTGCGAGTAAGGATGATTAGCCTCCCAAATTATTATTATTATTATTATCATCATTAATAATAATATTAATAATTTGGGAGGCAAATCATCCTTACTCACAGCTGAGAAGCTAAATTGCGAAGGCCCCAGCTACAACGTGGTCGAGCCGAGGGCATGTAAAGGCGCCGTTGGCAGCCGCCATACGACCAATGCCTGACCACGGAGCACAGCCAGAGATCGAAAGTGTATGATTTTTGCGGAGGGAGGAAAACCGGAGAACCCAGAGAAAAAACTCTACTCACACATGGTCCGAGCAGGGAATCGAACCCGGGCCACTGTGGTGAGAAGCGAGCGCTTTACGAACAAGCCATCCATGCCACCAGTATAGGCCCTATTCACTGAGGAACATACTAAAGGAGAACAATCACTCAGTTGTCCAAATGCAAGGGCATGATGCTGAAAGCAGCAGTTGAGAACAGTAGTATTTTGTTAAATGTGGTAAAATGCTGCTAACCACACTGTACGCTGCACTAAAGTTCTACAATTGATACAGAGATATGAAGCCGACACGATGGAACCCAAGACATTTAAAAAGCAAAACATTTCATGCACACTCAGATCAACCACTAGATATTATTTTCTGTTGGATATCACTGTTTTCTTGTTTGAAATTTTTTTTTCTTTTCGAAAACTAAATTCAGGGATATAAAAAGGCGAGTGAAGTTGGTGTGATTTCGTTTTGCACACTGATTGTCTAATTCGGTTTCAGAGTGACACCAATTACTAGAACGATGTCCTATGAGTGATATCTATTTTAGATCAGTGAGAATGGATGGACAGTGCCAAGGGTAATAACTTTAATTTCAAAAAGACAAAAGGACATAAAGTTTGTTTTGTCTTAAATTTTGTCAAACACTCACCGTTTTTGAGCGGGCCTTTCTGATGCTCCGTATCAAGTTATGGAAGCCCGGCGAGACGTCCATGTTCCTGGAGCCCAGGCTGTTCATGATGAACCCGGACACGGAGGAGAATGTCTTCTCCATGACCTCAGACATCCTCTGCCGTGCGGACGGAACCCAAAGATGCGATTCACCAGAACATCTAGACGTGACAAAACACTTCAGTGAGAACTGAGATACACATTTTTGTAATTATACAAATTACAAAGGTTGATTTTGTCTGATTTAAAATCCAGGGAGGTGGGAAACAATTATTGAAACAATTATTTGAAAGAATTATGTACCGGCATCGAACAGGCAAACAAAACGTTTACGGCAATGGGTTACGTTACTTGTTAGGCCTAGCCCCACTAGTGTGGCCGTCGGTATGCTGCGCTGATCGCAGCATACCGACGGCCACACTAGTGGGGCTACGTTAGGCCTAGCTTCATGAGCTAGAAGGAGATGTAGAAGTTAATGCTAGCATTAATCATAATGTGATAACAATCATATTCTAGTGATAATTTTTAAAAAAAACCCATATGTTAGCAAAATACTGACTGGCTTAAAACAAAGAACAAGGAATTCTTCACGAAAATGGTGCAACAGCAAAAGATAATAATGCAAGCTTGCATTCCTCCCCTCCTCTCCACTCCAGCGAGCTGTCAAACAGATTCGAATACCATCAACTCACTGTAGAAAAAAAGAGCCTATATTTTACCGTTTTGCACTGGTGGTTGATGAGTCTGTGAGCTGTTCGTGTCACGACTGTGTTACATTACAATACACAACTAAGTTGTAGCACCCACTTTTTAGTACACAGCAGACAGTCGTCGTTTAATAGCGCCACCACGAGGCGAAGATTCTCACGTGTTTATGAGATCGGTTTAATCGGATCGCCCACTGCCGCCTGCCTGCGCCTGTGTGACACTGACAGTTCGTCTGCGGAACTCCCGGGTTTATGGTGAGCTTACCTTTATTTTTTAATAAAAACATTTTAAATTGTAATTTATATTCGAAAGAATGTTGTATCCAGACGCCACTTCTGTGGTTGTGTACAAAGTCAATGGAGAGTTAAGTGCCTTTTCAAAGTATTTTCTCACTCCCAAAATTCATGTCTTTTTTTATTTCAACATTTTTTGCAATGACTGACCTTCAATTTTTTTTTCATTGAGATATTATTTATAAGCCAGTATGATGAAAAAAGTGGCGTCAGGATGCAACATTCTTTCCATTTGATCGATAGTATGGAAAATAAAATGTAGAAATTCTAGCACGTAGGATTTGTAGCACATCTGTCATGTCTATGTCACGTGTTTACATCATACAGGGCCAATTGATACTGGAATACCTCCGTAAATCAAGTTTTAAACTTTATTTACGGAGGCCACACCGCGAAATCTACCGGCGGCGTTCACATTCCGACTTTGCATGTTGTACTTTATTTACACTTAAGAAGCACACTCGCCTTGTAGCAATAAAGAAGTGTCCCCTTTCGCAGACGTCTACTTTTCGTGTAATTTCCAGGCTCGTTTTCACACGTTTGAGTATCTATAAATTAAATTCCAACATCGAAAAGATCACGCACAATGCATGTATGCTGGATACACACAATGCATGCTGGATCACGTTGAATTATATGTGATTTGAAATAAATTATATGGCATGCAGTGGCTATTGTACGAAAGCCCGTTTTACCTCTTTCTTTTTCACGGCTTCTCTTTCACAGTGGTGCGTTTCTCTTTCATGATATATGTAGATTGCCTCTACTTCTGGAATAAAAGGCACCTTTCTGTTAATTAAGGTGCCTTCTAAATCTAGAAGTAGATAGCCTCTCTCTCAGAACGTTTGTCTCTGTCTTATTATTTATTAATTATCATTTCTGGTAATGAAACCAAGGATTCCTCAAAAGCGTCCTAGGTACTGTAGCTCGCAAGCCTGAAGAAACCTGTGGAGAGAAGACAATGAGAATAAGTTACAGTTTTAGAGGTGGGAGGAAAAGCCCAGAACAATATTCTTGGGAAAACCCACAGAATCAGGCAGGGACTGAAAACCCAATCTACATATTGGCCCAGGCGGGATTCGAACCCGGGTCACAGCAGTGGAAGGCGAGGAAAGTACCGCTACGCCAACCTCCTCGGGGCAAATCAATTCGGAAAAAATGTTGCAACCTGACACCACTTCAAAGGTTGTGTACAAATCTATGGAGAGTCAAGAATTTTCTATGGAGAGTCAAGTATTTCTCAACAAAATTGGAAATGTTTCTCAGTCCCAAATTCATGTCTTATCATCATTTTTGCAATGACTGACCTTCATTGAGATAATATATGAAGAAAAAGTGACGTCAGGTTGCAACATTTTTTCGGTTATTTTCACAGAAAATTTAGGTCATTCTTATAAGTGTCTACTTTGGGCCTTTTGAAAATTTTGAAAATCGGTTTTCAAATATTGAATTTCTTTCATGGGATGTGATCAGTACCGGTATGTTGTGCGGCAACGATAGCCATTACGAAGTTATATTTAGATTTCTGTCGATCATGGCAGCATTGTGGCGTGCTGGGCTAGTGCATTGGTCACAATACTGCAGGTGCCAGGTTGGGGGTTCGAGTCCCTGAAATTGTGCATTTTTTTGGATTCGAACCATGTACCATCGGCACATAAAACGCACAGAGCTCCAATCGTAGTATTGAGCAACAAATCACTTAAAATCGCTGTATAGGAATTTAAAACCTAAAAGCAGCTATAGATAGCCATTGAAAAACACACTATGACTTCCGTAAAAATTGCCACTGCAAAGACTTGACGCATGCATGCCCTTTCAAGCTAAACACCGTAAATCACAAAAAACACATTTATTTTGTTTCTTGCAAGGAATATTGACGGAAAAATGTAACATCCTAATGCCACTTTTTTTCATCATATTCAATTTTGAAGAAAAAAAACACCATGAATCTGGGACTGAGAAACATTTCCAATTTTGTTAGAAAATTCTTTAAAATCACAAAAAACACATTTTTTTTTGTTTCTTGCAAGGAATATTGACGGAAAAATGTAACATCCTACTGCCACTTTTTTTCATGTATTATCTCAATTTTGAAAAAAAAACACCATGAATCTGGGACTGAGAAACATTTCCAATTTTGTTAGAAAATTCTTTAAAAATGCACTTTACTCTCCATAGACTTTTTGTACACAATCACAGAAGTGGCATCTGAATACTACACTGTACATTATTTCAAAATTGATTAACAGAAAAGGAAAACCCTTTTTGACATCGAGAAAGATATGTCTGAGAATATAATTGAAAGGAAGTGCAATAAAATAGGATTAAATCTCATCCTTTCAGAGGCAACATAGCTGCATCGTTGGACGTGTCAGTCAATTCTCACTGACCTGAACTGTCCAAGGACTTGCTTCTAATCCTCCCACCTCTTGTACTGTCCTCGGACGTTAATGCTATTTCACACATGGATCTCTGCGGGATTATTTGAATTGAAGAGGTTTTTGTTGTCAGTGAGTGTCGCATATCTGGCATTTCACTTGGAGGCAGTTGCATTGATTTTCACAGTCAGATGCACATACAGTATGATACATGTAGTTGCATAACTTTGATATCAAAACAAGATTTTCTTGGATGAATTACATGTAAGTAGAACTCTTTTAATGTATTTTCCAAGAGGGCCCATGCCGTGTGATTTTTTTGTAATGCAATCCTTGAAAATGCACCTTTGTGCCCATTTATCCCAATTTTAAATTTTTGTTTTGCCATTTTCAAGGGTATTTTGGTGCCTTCTTGGTTTGTTTGCTAATGCAAATTTCCATATTCATGAGCAAAAGTGCGACGTCATTTCAGGAAGAAGCAATGTTACTGCTATTTCATCACCAAACGTTGTCAGAATTTTGGATATTTCGCTGACGTAAACCCTTGTCACATAATGTTATCAGTCAGCAAATTTTTGGGTTCATTATTTGAACAGAAAACACCTACATGTAAACTGTACAGTGTCTTCCTAAAATGACATCACAGAAACACTGCCCTCAGTTGCCCGGAAAGGCATGAGTTTTTAAAAGATGTTTAAAGAAGTGCATTTTTCAATAAAATAAACCAAAAAGGGATGTCAAATAGTTTTCATACATTTATGAAAAGTAGAAAGATGCACAAAATATGTGCCTCAGAAAAAAATTCACTTCATGGGCCCTTTTACAAATGTAGGCCGATTTGTACTCAGAGCGATAGCGAATATAGGCCTAATTTGTGACATCAAGGCAATTTTTTTGCTCTGCAAATTCACAAAGGTTGAACACATTTCAACACCAGCCAATTTAGCGATGCATGTTGCGTGACGTCAAATCCACTTTGCATTCATGTGAAGTAGGAACCCGCCATCATGGTTCCCTTGAAAATGGCAGATTACCATATTAAACTACTTACAGTACTTACCGGTACATGTATGTATTTAGTCTAGTTTGTTGCTCATCAATATTCTTCAAAACAGTTTTTAATTAAGTTTAATTTTCACAATGCATTTCCATTACCATTTTTCTATTTCTAGTATTGGATAATTGAATGTACGACATGCAATTACTCTTAGACAAGTGACTAATTCAAACAAAAATTGCAATTGATTAGAAATAAGAGACCCAGAAAATTTGATGGATCGTGGAAAATAGCTGGAAATAATTCACGCAGAACTGGGAAGGTTTTGTGTTATAAGTGTCAATTCTCGGGCACACAGTGAAGAATGATGTATTACAAAATGTACCTGCATACATCACTGTTTTTAATACCATCTGAAATGTCTAAGCATATTATATTGCATAGGCCTATATGCAATGCCTTCAATTCACGTACATACATGTCCAATGTTTGTCTGCACATTATGTGACCCTTTTCCATTATCATGGGAAGCACCACGGAATCTCTCAGCTTTCATTAGATTTGTCTGGCTGACAGGAGTCCAAGCATACATAAGGTAAATGGTTTAGCTTGCCCCTTCCCACTAGCCTTCACCCTGATGATGCTTCTCTCTCTTACGACTTTGGTTGCCCCTGGCGACGGAGGCAAGTCAGCCCTGGAACGCTGGCAATTAACACTGTTTGGTACATTCAAGGGCAGGAATTGTGCTAAAAATTGGTTTCGTGGAAATGTGAGCAATGCGTGTAGGCCTATAGCACACAGAGGGCTACTAAGGCGCAGCTACTAATTTAAGGCTAATCTGGAAGTGCTTACATTTCAGAATCGGAAATATTAAAACAAGTCTTTGTACTAAAAGCCTTTTCAAGTTTTCAGTTATTAAAAACATGGGTCAACCAATTTATTGTGCTGCAGGATTTTGCAGGATTCAGGCAGTGGTCACCCCTCCACCGACCATATTCAAGAAATAATGGAGGAATTTGCAGGATTGAGGCTATATATGCTAGTTTTCCATGAGGCCTAATGGAGGATTTTGCAGGATTGAGGCTTCATCCTAGCAAAAAGCCTAGGGAGTTAGGGTTAAAGAGCTGCACTTTAGTAACTTGCTTTAAATCCTGTTTTATCTGCATCGAGCAAAAAAAAAATTGAAAAAAACAGTACTGACAATTGTTAAAACAATTAACATTCCTAGGCACTTGATGTTGAGTCCTCGATGCGTCTGACGGATGAAAACGACTTTCAAACGACAGTAATTGTCCCTCATTTGCATGACAATCGTCCAACGACGACACGTAATGTAATTTCACAGGCGTATAACGGCTGGATTTGATGAGCCCCCCTGACAAGCACCAGAATTTTCTTCTTTATTAGATTTCCACAGATCTTGATTGCTTTGCGTGCCTGGCAAATTGTGCTGGTTGAGTGGCTTGAAGCGACTACAACATCCCCCCATCCATCCATCGTTTCCCGCATGCTCAGACTGTCGGCCAGGCTTTCACGTTGCTACT